AGCCCCGGTGCTGCCTTGCTGAGCCCGCCTGGCCCCGGCCCGGGCTTCCCGCCTCAGCTGGCCGCAGCGGGGAGGCTTGATCCCTGCCCCGCGTGGAAAAGCCCTGCCTGCGGTCGGGGGGGTGCGCTGCGGTCCTCGCGGTGCTGCATCCCAGCCGGCGAGGTGCCGCTTGTCCTAAATAAATTAGACCTGTCACGACCTGTGGCTGTTTTTTCTGTCTTCCTCTCGGCAGAGCGTAGGTTCTTGGGCTTCTGGAAGATCGCGCCGAGGCACGTGCCTGTTACAAAGTGTGGTCAAAACCATAGTAATGAAAGAAAACTGATTTATCAGCTCTGAATAGATAGATGTTCAGGTGTAAATATTATTCGGTTTGGAACCCCAAAGAATTTCCTGTACTGGAAAAAATGCAGTGGTTTAAAGAGCATTTTTTTGAAGGCTGAGGAAGATATTTTTATCAGCCAACACCACTGTCCTTTGTGGTTTGCTACTAGTATAAAAATCTGGCATTGATTTATAATACTCCTAGAGGAATTCAGAAGAATGATAACTAAGTTTTTAGCTTTTTTTGCAGTTAATAAGGAAAGGCCACAGGAAATTTTGAACAAAGCTGGATTTTAGTCTACAGTTTTGTAATAGTAGTGATGACCACCATCACTATAGGAAAAAACTTGTAGTTCTTCTTTTGATTAGCATCATAGGTTATTGAAAGAACACGAGTGTGGTATCTTTGTTTCTAAAGAAAAAGGAGAAGATGAAATAATGTTCTCCTTATCTGAAATCACTAATCTTTTTTCTTTTTTTCTTTTTCTGACATGCTGGGCATTTTCACAGCAGACATTTTCATCCAAGAAAGTATCAGAAGGTGAGGGATGAGTTCTAGGAGTGGTAGAAATCTTTATAATTGTGCTTTTTGAGAAAATTTGTTTGCAGAGTCCTTAGTTTGAGGTGAAGTGTTCTGGTATAGGTCTTTGATACTCCTGCTTCAGAAAGTGAGAAATACAAGGGAGTTCTTTAGAGACTGCAAGCTTCCTACACTGTGGTTTGTTGGCTTTATACAAAGCCCCCGGAATACCTGCTCCCTGTGCTTCTATAGAAACACTTAAAATGCTGTATCTTTATTTCCCTGAGTAAACTAGTCCTAGCCCAGTTAATAATGATTTTGCATGTTGCAGCAAGCATTGTGTAACCAAATATTTTAGGGGCCTTTTCTGTGGACCCCATCCCTAGTCATTGTCTTTTTAGGTTGGTTTTGGTTGCTCTTTGAGACTAGTTCTTTGAACTGGTTTTCTGAACTAGTGTTCCTTTGGTGGTTTTTGGGTGGTGTGGTTTGGGGTTTGGTGGTGGTTGGGGTTTTTGTTTGTTTTGCAAAAGTATTGCTCCAAATACCCTTTGCTTTCCAGGAAAACACATTCCTTGCTCAGCAGCCATTAGAATCGTGTGTGTGTGAATTTACTGCTATAGTTTCTGCTGCATTGTTAAGGGTGATTTTTTTAGTGAAGTTTAACATACTTGGGCATTGAGCAGCAAGTTCTTGCCCATTGTGGTATTTCTGAGAGCCTGATGACTTTGCTGCCTGTCACTGTGTTGGCACTTCTTGGAAACTTCTTGTATCTTTATATTAATTCTATAACTAGAGATTAAGCATTCCATCATATATTTGGGGTCAAATTTTAATATATTTAGATACCTGTTGTAGAAGGTATTATTGAAGAAACTTGATAGTAGTAAGTGTTGCATTTTTGGCTGGTATATACTTACATAAAGCTATATCTTTTCAGTATTTCATGTTTCCTAAATGTTTTTAATCATTACCACATGCATTCCTAAGAATTATTTAACTAGGGAACACTAGGTAAGTTTTGATGGTGGACAGCTTAAAAAACTGCCCAGTGTCAAATGTAAGTAACTACTTACCAGTGAATGTTTTAGGGAGTTTTTACTTGCACTGTCTTTCATATATCTAATTATTCATGGGGAAATGTTTTAAAGTACTGATTGAACACAGTCAGTTGAAGTTCTAAGACAAGAGAAGGCTGTGATGTAGTTGATGACTTGTTGGAGTAACCAAGTTCAAAATTTACAGCATGACAGTTTATTGCTGTCTTTCTCATTAGAGGCTAGGTGTAGCTTTACTGTGCTATACACAGTGACTTGGGAGTGGTACACACTGAATTTAACTACTTAGGACTTCCACCTCTGTGGTGTATGTTTTGAAATTATTTTTCAGGACATGTTCTTTTAGAGCTTTACTAGATGTTTTATTGTCTTACTTTTCAAGAAAATAGTCTTTCTCTAGAACAGAGAAGTCATTTCAGCATGCCAGTATGGTAGAGAATGATGATAAGAGGATATTCTAATACTCTGAAATTAAAATGGGTAACTGTTGGCAAAATGCACTCACAGAGATTGCATAGTGCCTGGAAGCTTCTATGCCCACAATGGAACATAAAAACAGTTTTTACCCCAAAGAAGTAGGATTTAATTTCAGTTGAGTGCAGCTGGAGAATTTAATTATATGAAGGGTGGTAGAATAAAGAAAGTAAAAGTTTGTGTTGTCTCAGTTATCTTGAAATAGGCATGAAAAATGTTAGTGGATCGTTTTTCATTAATGATTAATTTCTCTTTGTTCAATAGGAAGGCAATAGAGCTAGGTCTTAAACAGTTGTGTGTCTTACATGTATTTTGTATTGAAGACAGTGGAGTACAGAAACCATAGGGGAAGTTGTGAAAAGAGGTTGGGAGTAGTGGTGACACTTTGTATTTAGGGTCTTTTGCGATAGAAGCAAAGGCAATTTTTCATTTTCTCAGCACTAGTCCATATCTAAGTAATAGTGGCTTTTGAAAATGGCTTCTAAACTACTTGCAGCTTTTTTCCTTTTCAGTGGTTGTAAAGTGGTTTATTGGTAGCTTGTTGAATCTTGAAAGTTGATTTCACTCTAAAGATTCAATGCTGTGAGATTTGGATTTTGTTGCCTCCTAACAGTTCTTCAGGTTGTGAAAGGTAGCCAGATTCTAGGCAATTATCATTACTATGTAAGTTTTCTTTTTATATATTAATATATTTCATATTTATAATATTATATACATTAAGCTTTATAACCATTTCTAGTTAGAAAGTGTTTTTCAGTTTGTAGGTATTCACTTGATGCAGGTGTTTTCTTGTACTTTTCTTTTTGTGTACAGATGTTCTAATACGTATTCAAGAAACACAAAGAATTCCCATTATGGCACACTGATAGTGCTT